TAAAACCATTAAGCACATATGTTTCTTTTACAAATAAATCACAGACACTTTTTACTGTCTTTACTGTGATGAAAAATAGTCTGAAGGCTTGGCTAATCAGTGGTTAAACCCTCCCAGCGGTTTCGCCAATTTAATCCACCAGACTGCTTTTTAGAGTTCTAATACTGTATTGAATGATTCTGAATATATATGTGACAATTAAAGGTGGAATCATAGCGATGGTATTTAGTAAACAATGGAAATAAGCTCTTTTAGGACAGTAGAATTACATTTAAATACAGTAGAACTTGGACAATTCGAACTTCTTTAATTCGAAAACCTCTTTAATTCGAATATTTATCTTGGTCCCTAGAATTTCCTATATATATAATTTCCGTTTTTAATTCGAATTTTTGGATAATTCGAATTTTTTTATGGTCCCTTGGGGTTCGAATTATCCAAGTTCGACTGTATATCATCGAGCGATTTGTTACAAACCACGGAAATTTCAAAAGTTTTTAAAAATAGAATAAAGGCAGTGGAGGATTCAAGTTGTTTTTGTGGTATTGAGGAACAAACCTCAAGACATCTACTGATCGATTGCCCAGCATTTCAAGATTATAGAATGAAGAATGAACTAGTTGTTTGTGAACTTAACGATTTGATTTCCGATGAAAAATCATATTTAAAGTTCAATTCATTTTGTAAATACGTTCTAAACTTTCTACAAAATCTGGATCTCTAATGTTTTCATGCGTTTAATAATGTAAATAACTTATGTAAATAAACTTTTCTCCTTGTTTGGCGCAAGTATCCATTGCGGGATATAGCGCTTTGGAAATAAAATAATTGTAAATAATTGTAAATCGAGCGATTCTCTTTCGGAAACAATAAAAACAAGGTCAGTTTAGCATTAATTAATTATAAGGCGATAACATTAAGGCCAGTAGAAAGTTTTTTTATTTGTGAAATAAACTTGCGTGTTTGATTCTTGACTTCTAACTATATGAAATAAAACAGGGAAGTCAAATATATAAGAACATATCCTTTGAATATTGCCACGTGGAAAATTAAAGAAGACAAACTTCAAGTTTCTTGAAATTCCGGGCTAATTGGCCTTAGCGGTAGGTCTTCTAGCCCCAACATGGCTGCAGAACGCGAACTGGTGGCAAGGGATCCTAAGATCTGGCTGTGGAGGTGTCATCGCAGGGGTGGAGGAAACGTAGAAGACAAACTTCAGGATGACACAGCAATTTATTTAAGACAAGAACAAACTATGGATGATAAAAAAAAAGATAAGCAATGAGGGAAGTTTACAGAGTACCAAAATATAAACATAAAAAACTGACACTCTGTTAATAAAATAATAAATACTTTGTTACAACCTAAAAATAATCAATTCGTAAAATGTGATATATTATAATTTAAATTTGAAATATTGTTCTATTTTTAAAGAATATTTTTATTCAGTGACTATTCTCTCTCTCTCTCTCTATGAGGATATTTGTAGGTTTGAAGTAGTGCACGCGGTCCTATACCACCATGTGAGGGAGGTACTCTCCGAGATACTCTCGACAGAAAACAAGATCATTCTCCGAGATTTCCTCAACATGGCAATTGAACATATTGGGGACAAAGACCCATTTATAACCAAGGGCCTATCTGAATTCAGGATATCTTGTAGCCCTTGATCTAAACCAATGAAGCCTGTTTAGATTTCATTATGTATATTCATCCTTGTTATTATTATTTTCTTTAGTTTTCATCTGTCACCATAATATTTTATGAACGAAGTAATAAAAGTTGATTCAATCTCAATCTATCTCTCTCTTCTCTTCTCCGAGTGAATTCAATAAAACCAAGCGGGTAACTAATGAACATACTCTTCAAATATAAATGCAATTACTTCACAAAATGTCATATATATTACAATTTAAATTTGACGTTTTGTTCTAGAAAAAAAAATATTCAGTGAATGTTGTGAGTGAAGTCAATAAAAACCAAGCAGCTAACTAATGAAATTCTGTGTTCCTCAATAGATCGATGGGATACTTCCGCTGTTTGGAATTTCAAATCTTCTGCTCAATCTCTCTAGTTCGTCTGCCACGGCAATATTTACGTCTGACACTCTTTCTCTCTACATATTTGCATATTCCCGTAGTTGCATATGTGACGGTGATATTAAATGGTTTCTAAACCTAAAGGTTAGCATCTTAGTTGTCTTCATTCTTTTCAGAAAATAAATAATACCTAGCCGAGTGTATGTGACCCGGGCATCGCCGAATATTTTGGTATATAGATCGCTAGGTATAGTTGAGTATCTTTGGAGGAGAGATTACTTAAAACTTTACAACTAAAAACTCTGTTAGTTTATTATCTATATAGAATATATTTTACAAGAAAAATGCGGAATTGAGAAGTTTAATTTACTATAAAACCCTTCACGAGCTTACGAAACTCATAATCCACAAAAAAGGGGGTTCGGTGGATTGATGGTCTAAACCGTTGGCTTTCTACCGCTACGACCCGGGATCAAACCCTGCATTGGGCACTTTTTTCTGATTTAAAAAAATGCTCCAATAGCCCCCGATTCTTGCAAAAGTCCAAGCCCACCAGCGAGTGTAAGTAACCAAACGGGACTCTGGTACATTTGTAAGTGCAAAGTCGAATTGCTTTTCAGATGTGTAGACATGTGGTGCACTTACAGTAAAAGCAGTCGCTTACTTCTACCCATCATGATTATCATGGCCCGTACCACGTGTACTAGGGATAAGCAAAAAAAAATATCCGCAAATCGGTGTAAATTTGCATAGAACGCTGACCAAAGGATTGTATTATATACATACTAGCGACTATATTTTGAAAATTTTGTTTACAACAATATGAACAATATGTAAAAAGTGTTCCAGAGATTATATATGCAAAGTGGCATTTTACCAGCAAAAGAGCTAACATCGAAAATGAGATAAGAGGCCAATGTTAAAAATAACTTTAATAATAAATATTTTAAGTCTTTTCAAATGATATTCTTAATTTCCTTTGAACGTTTTGATGACTGTCATTCATAATTATCAAAATTCGAAACTATTTTAAAGGCGTAAGATTCTTTTTGAAATTAAACAATTTCTACTGCCCTTGCTGCAATGGAAAAATTAAAGGGAGGGCCTGGCTCATCAGTGGTGAACCCTCCCAGCGGTTTCGCCAGTTTAATCTACCATACCGCTGTTATATTGCATTTTTGGAACTTCCTTTTATAGTGATACTGTTGGTAGACTCTTGGAATGGGTATTTTAGAATAACTATGGACATAAGCTTTGAGTTTCCATTGCAGTAAGGGCAGTAGAAATTGTTTAATTTCAAAAGAATCTTACGCCTCTAAAATAGTTTCGAATTTTGATAACAGATGGCGCGCTAGTGCATCAAATTCATAATTATCTTAGAGACTAGACTGATTCAACCCTAGCCTTTCAGTAATACTCTAACCTTGACCTATGCACGGTGTGGCCACTGGGGACATGTGTCGGTCCTATAGGCTGTTGTTGATTTCTGCGCTGCCTGGAGTACAGTATCTATGCTTCCTCCTGTGGTGAGAATCTTTATAAGACCGATGGTCTTAATAAATCTATTGTTGTTGTAATTATCTTAGAGGAACGTAAAATAAATGAGGTATAAAATGTTTTTTAAATTTGGAGTCGTTTTCTACGTAATCCTTTTAAAAAAACACGGTTTAAGTTCTATAAATATTTATAACATATTCTCTTATATTTATTTTATACCATTTATAGTTTTGTCGAGAATAAAACACACAACGTCAGTTGCTCTGAAAATGTTTAGAAAACGTTAAAGTATGATGCACTAGAGCGCCACCTGTTATCAAATTCGGAACTATTTTAAAGGCGTAAGATTCTTTTTGATATTAAACAATTTCTACTACCCTTACTGCAATGGAAAATTAAACTGGCGAAACCACTAGGAGGGTTAACCACTGATGAGCCAGGCCCTCCCATTATTTTTTCCATTGCAGTAAGGGCAGTTTAAATTTTGTTTAATTTCAAAAAGAATCTTACGCCTTTAAAATAGTTTCGAATTTAGATAACGTTAAAGTGTTATTTAGGAAGTAACTAGTAGCGTGAAAGCGATATGTTACTATCGGGGTCTACAGTCCACTAATACATGTAGTATTATTAATAATCGCGGTGTCCATGCACGCACCTCTATCTCCGCGAACATTACTGAATCCAATAATAATAAAAAATACTTTATTACCCTGTTATTTATCGTACTAGCCTATGTATTAGCTGATCGGTCGTGTTACACTGTGTGTGGGCTTGAAAGTATTACTTATGTTACTATAGACAACTGATTTTTTTTTCTAAATTTGACTAAAGCTGGTTGACGAATATACATTTATCGTAAAGTTAGAGGCTGCTTGGCCGGCATTCATATTTATATGGAAAATAGACACTTCGGCGGCCAGTTGGAGTTTTTTTTTATTTTCTCAACGTTTCAACAAAAATCTTTTGTCTTCTTCAGGAGAAGTAAATAAAAATAAAACAATTGGTAAGGCGTTATAAATTGTTCTCTTAACGCCTTGCCAAATGTTTTATTTTATTTACTTCTCCTGACGAAGACAAAAGATTTTTGTCGAAACGTTGAGAATATACATTTGGAATATGCCAGATCTTTAAAGAGAATATCAAATAGAGGACAGATAAAGAGTGGCTTCTAATAACAGTACATCTTTTTGTACATACGCATTTACAAATTATTCCCTTATATTGTTTCTCATTTTGAAGCTGAACTAGATAATGAAGAAGGATATACCAATTTAGGATTATTCAAATTAAAGATACTTCGGACAGTAAATATTTTTATTATCTCGACGTTTCGACAAAAATCTTTTGTCCTCGTCAGGGGCGAACAAATTTGAAAACATTTGACAAAGCGTTAAAATTTATTTTAGGGTATTGGTTTTTCTTTTTGTCTTTTATGACCAGTTCAAGAAGTCTACTCTCCTCTAGTCCAGGGTAGCCTAGTGGACATGGCATCTGCCCGGTAAGCGGAACACTGTGGGTTCGATTCCCATCCTTGGAGACTTTTACTCTCCTCTAGTCCGATGAAAGTAGGCATTTAAAGACCAAAGTAAATATTCTATGGTTAATCTGGGACAAAACACCTTTGTCATCTCGAAAGACTTTCATGTTATTCCATTTAAGAAACTTTTTGTCTGTTTTTTGTTCATTCAAGAATATTTAAGAGTTATATCCTTTTCTGACGAGGGCTGTTTGTTATGGGTAGTATCCGTTGAATTTTGTAAAATCTCTATTTCCTACAATAGGTCTGAGCCATGGATGATTTGGCAATTACTTCAGTTTGAGTATAAATCCGCAGTATATATGCGCAAAAACAGAAAATACACTATATATTGAAATATACATTTTTACGAGAAAGAGATTGTGATTGCAATAACATTCCAATTTATTAATCGCACTATCTGAAAATTCGGTCTTTTTAGGCCACAAGAGGTCTCTATATACCTATTCCCTTTTATATTAAATAAATAACGATAAAATATATTAATCCTTTTTTCAGGTAATATATCAAATTCCTTTATATTCCATCTTATTATAGCTATGCAAATATATTCCTTATTGCATATACATGAGAATAATATATGTGCATCAGTTCGCCATCAACAGGGAGGGAACGGATGGGAGAATATATTGAAAGATATTCGCAAACACACAATCAATAGAGCAATTTTAAAAATAAACAAAAAAGTTTTTTTTCCTTCCAAATTGGCGCAAGATCTGGGGAATAAGCTGGTTAGATTGATGGGAGGAATCCTTATTGAAATTCAAGGAATAGAGCCGATGGGAGAATTTAAATTTCAGGGATTTGTGGTAATCATTTTAGTTGGAGAGATCTCCCCAGTGGATGTTTGTTTGGAAGGCCTCTTTTGTGGGATTCTCATCAATCTTCTTTCCGACAGGAAGTTCGTTCAGCAGGATAGGCGGTTCAGTGATCTTTGACAATCTCCTGAAAACACAAGTTTAGAAAAACGATCCTTAAAAAAAAGAGACTTTTCCAGTCGACGTCTTCCGAGAGTTTTTGGGCCATCTCTCTAGACCTTCCTCCTATCTTAATTCAAACACTATACAGCAACAACACAAAGCCTTTATTAAGGATACTCGTCCCATACAGGCATTCTCCCAGATACAGAAGTAAACATGACAGTTATATACAGAAAGTAGAGGTTATAAACATCGACCTTTCTTCAAGTTTTGCATCCATCATCTGTGTTGCGCTAATTGTCTGTGATGTTTTCCAGAATTTGTGTAAGTTAATGTATTGGGTTTGGTTTTTCATTACTTTGCCATTAGAACATATGGCGACTTGTTTTCAAAACCAATATTTCGATATAGAATTTCTCTCTCTTCCTCCAGTGCCGGACAATAAAACATGTGTCATGGCTGAATTCTCACTATTACACAGAGTATACTTTAAGTTCTTAGATTTCAATAATAAAACGTGATTATGTTTGAATAGTTAAAAATGAATTCTTACTTGGGCAACGCTTTGCTTTACAGTCATTGAAATATCACTGTTGTGGTAAGTCTCCATAGTAGTTGATGTATGAAATTCAAACTCTATACAGCACAAATACTAAACTAATGTTTAGTTATTGTGCTACTTCTGTCGAAAGGCTTATAGACCTGAATGTTTGAGTTCATGTAATATAAAAACTGATAAAGAAACTTACTTTATCAGTTTTTATATTACATGAACTTAATCTTTCCGGTCTATAATTTCGGGTCTATATAATTAGGCATTAGTATATAATTTGTGCTGTATAGAGTTTGAATTTCATACATCAACTACTATACCACAACAATGATATTCCAATGACTGTCAGCACTCCGTTGCCCAAGTAAGAATTCATTTTTAACTATTCAAACATAATCACGTTTCAATATTGAAATCTAAGAACTTAAAATTCACTCTGTGTAATAGCGAATTTATCCCCGGATTTATCATCTATTTATTTAATGCCTATACATTCTGCATTTGCAAAACACTTTTTTAATAACTGAACAGATATTTCTATTTTTAACTTATTTCAGGAACCATGGATGATAGACTAGTTTGTGTAGAGTCGACTTCCCCGGAAAGCTTTAGGCTCTGTCTGTAGTAACTCCAAATGGGACTCTAAGCACACGCGAATGGCGCGTTATTGCCTTAGGTTTAATTTAGGTTTAACTGGTCATGTAGGAATTCTTTGCGGAAGAGCATTGATCGTTAGCAAATATTTACCTGTAAGTCTACTGTCCTCAATCATAAGCATAAGAAAATTCGCCCAATACTATAATCTGAAAAGCGGTATGATAAATTAAATTGGCGAAACCGCTGGGAGGGTTCATTATTGATGAGCCAGGTCCTCCCAATATTTTTACACACTGCCAACCACCAACCTATAGTTAGTGAAGGAGAAATAGATAGACCCTACGATACCATCAACAGACTAGCCATAGAAAGGAAGCTCTGAGAGGACAGGAATACTGCCAGCCACCAACCTACGGCTGGTTGAGGAGATATAGACAATACTAATGAAGGACAAAGATCGAAATCTTAGCTTTATAAAAGATAAGCCTTATTCCGAATTTTCTAGAAATTATGTGTATGTGGGTGTGGCAAATATTTAATAATATAAATATAGACGATATGCTAAATGAATTTTTTAAAGATATATTTTGTTCATATTCAAAAAAATATTTTGTATTCTTCTATATATTACTCTCACATATTCTGAAAAGAATACCAATATATAGAACCTCTCTATAATCCAGCTTATTATATTGAGAAAGGATGTGAGAGATCAAAGAGGTCCATTATTCCCAAGTTTAAAACAATTCGCGGCACATTTAATAAAGAGAATTCATAGAAAGAACGGCAAGAAGAATACTAAAGTCTTTCAAAGAAATAACAAAAGTTTGACGCCAAGTCTCTGTTTTAATGCTTGGTATTTAAGATTTATAACACATTTAAATTTATAATTTTTTATTCAATTAAGATTAAAATTACACAAGCATAACATTTAAATATATATACTGCCTAACCATTCTCTATACTAACTATATAACATTAAGCGATCTATTTACATTTTGTTTTGGTCACTGGTCCAATATTTTTATTTTCACAGACCAAATTATAAGATTAATTCACAGATGAAAAATATGCAAAATAACTAAACAAATATATACATCAATTTAATATTTATTTAAAACAAATGAACAACTATATACATCAATTCCCCCTTCTTAGGCTTGGCCCCCCTTATTTATTTATTTACTCTCCATATCTCTGCGGACATCTGCGCTCCCTCTGAGGATACCTGGGGGTTGTAATACTTTTCTCCTCCGAGATTGGAGTTGGCACACGTTCAGCCTCATTCATAATAGTGGGATGTGATTTACCAGGCAACATTTTTCTAATGTAGTTTTGATGAACCTTTTTTATACTGTCACCTTGTTTTATTAAATAAACATTCCTTCCTAGTATTTTGATTATCTTTCCTGTATACCAAGAGGGATGCCCATTAGTAATCCACCTAAACTTCACAGTCTCATCCACTTTAAATTTACTGTTAACATATTGACTATTGAATTTGGAGGCTTTTACTTCTTCTTTTGATAACACCGAAAGTCTTGATCTGATCTTTCTTCCAAGAAACAGTTCCGCAGGTGATGTCCCTTTCCTAATATTTACATCGGTCCTTATAAAGAACAAAGCCCTGGACAGAGCCAAATTTAGTTCCACCTGCTCATTTCATATAATTGCTTTTTTAGCAATTTCTTTACCTCTCTTACAGAGACTTCTGCCTGTCCATTCGATTGTGGGTGATATGGGGGAGATGTCACATGGGATATGCCATTCTTAGACAAAAAATCACCAAAGTCACTACTAAAGAAAGGAGGACCATTATCAGAAACCACTACTTGTGGAAATCCGTAGCGAGCAATACAATTTCTCATAAAATTTATACAAAAATATGCACTGGTAGATGGTACTTCAGAAACTTCAACCCATGAAGAAAATGAATCCACTGCTAGTAAAAACAGTTTGTTTTTGAAATTGAAATAGTCCATGTGCACTCTCCTCCATGGTCCTGCATATTTAGGCCAACTCTCAGTCCTTTGAGGAGGCAAACTTTCATTAGAAAGACAAGTTCTGCAATTTTTTGTAATTATTTCTATTGAAGAGTCCATGCCGGGCCACCAAATAGATGAACGTGCCATCATTTTCATTTTATTAGTTCCTGCATGGCTCTC